ACATGCGCTTGGCCATATGCACCTGCTGCAAAACAGATTCAGCTGACTCAGTTGATGAATGAGCGAATACGCCTGAAAAGACAAATATGTTGCATAATTGTCACAAATTAACTCGGGTTTGAAAGCAGCATCTATCGAAGGGTTGAGCTTGGACCACAGTGCCCATGAAGTTTGACTCACCCTTGTAATGATGTGTTTAGACTAGAGCATTAATGGGTCAGTCATGTCACGTCGACTCACAATGGCATGCCAGCTAGGTCATCGCACAAAACAAATCAGCTGCCTTGAGATCACTGACGCATGCTTGGAAAGATTCCTCCAACCCATTCACAGCCATGAGCTGCCCAGGCGTTGGAGCCTTTTCCTTCTCCTTCTCGTTGGCATTACCCATCGCTGACGGAAAGCTGATGAGCTTCTTCGCAGCCATGCGCCACTGAACCACAAAGACTAGGAAGGACTATCGAAGAGCAGTTTGCTGCGTTGAAACGATTCCTATTTCCACACCCTGGCCCATGCACAGGCACATCTCTCCCTCACTCGCTCGCTCACTACTCACCCACACCCTCTGACTCATGGCATGCTTTCAGACAGCCCACCTTCCCCAATGTTTAGAGGCGGCACACAATGAAACAGTTACTCGCAAGTCTCTCAGTCTCGCATCAGATGAATGGAAAATGGTTTTCTGCGCCAGAACCAGCAGGTCGGGGCTTCATCTATTCAAAGCGGGCTCTAGAGTCACTGCCAGGCCTAAGACTCGCCCAAATTGCAAATGCTTGCGCTAAACTACTCAACGGATTACAAATTGGCAATATGCACTGCATCACAAAACGCAGTGGCCAAAGCTGGTCATGGAGCATCAGCCCATGAAGCAAGCGAGATTAGTTTGGCCTTTGTCATCCCTCACATCAAAGGCCTAGTCGAGAATCTCCCATGGGCTGTCATCCTCCGCTTGAGCCTGAGCGCAAAGTGCTGTGACCATGTCCAACCTGTCTCACCGACAACTCTGTTTCCACTCCATGTATTTATCCATGTTCCAGAATGAACTTTAGTAGTAATTTAGATCCTTTGTACATCAGATCGGTTGTTTTTTTCTTTCAATTCTTTCAATGCCTGGTTAGCACATCACACCGCACGGCTCCGCAGAAACAATCCAAACACCTAATAAGTCAGAAGGTACCACTCACCCTCGTTACCCCCTCCCTAGTCCTAGGCTGATCATTGGTATTGGCCGACTTGCAGCGCAAATGCTAAGCCACGTCACTTTACAAAAATAGGCCGAGTCAGTGAATAGTCATTATCATATAATAGTATCCTCAAATGACTTCCATGTGTTCACTCGCAATCGTTGCCCTTCTCCATTTCGCAATTCACTCTTCTCCTTTGCAACGCGGACCGGTTCGCCCTTCCCATTTCCCGCCTCCGCCCTTGTCGAATGCGGCTGCCTGGCTGCCGTCAGCTCAGCAACCACAGCGCTCTTCACACTGTTGAGGATCTCATGGTGCGGATGACTAGCAAGAATCATTGCAACTGCCAGCCCGAAGTGCTCTGGGTAGTGCTCTGACTCCTTCAACGCACGCTTGTTGCCGGCAATCCATCGGCCTCGCTTGCCAGCCAATGTCTCCCCTTCAGTCACCTGCCACAGCTCCAGGCGCTTCAACTCCCGCATGATCTCCATGTAGAGCCTCCAATGCATGGTCTGTCAGCTGAACAAGCAAACAAACAATCGCCTGACCAGAGTAGTTTGATGCAATGAAGTCAGTATGACTCTGATGCATTCAATGAATGAACATGCTTCTACTTAGTTTGTGAAACTTGCGGAGACTATCGAATGTGTTTGTACTGTATTGTAAGCGGTGACCATCCTGCCTTCTCAAGTGTGGACCTCCTGCCCACGTACCGCCCAATTTCAAAGGTTTGATGGTAGGAGACCCAAAGCTTCGCAGGGCCACATAGGAAGAGGTCCACTGAGGTCGCTGAAATGCTGCCTTGCTGACCAGCCAATGCATTTCATACTACACCAAGCAAAAACTCATGAACAACAAGGAGTATATGGTTGGTTTCCAAAATGTCTTTTCCCAAAATGGTGCACTCGTCGCAATTCCATGGGGGCCCGCTTCTAAGTCTCCTTTAAACTTCAACCACGCTCAAACCACAGGGATGTTAAACATGAAGGCGTGTGAACTGCAAAAACTGTGAGAGGTGTCTAGCGCGGACTGCTGAGATGCTGGAGCTGCTGCTGCTGCTGCTGGACTCCTGCAGTTGTTTCCACTTTTTGTTCTCAGAACGACATAGTTAGGAAGGACGTAAGAGCTGACTCAAAAGATTTGGATGTTGGATGGGCAAATGGTCAAGAAATGGACCGTCGTCTAGCGCGGTGCTAGCGCGGATCTAGCGCCAGCCTAGCGCAAAAATATCCGTCGATTTCTTTATCCTGTCAGATTCTTATTTTTCCTGCTTGCTTGTCTTCTTGTTGTGCATTCTTCTTCTTCTTGGCTTTTATTTTTTCGTGTCTTGCTTCTCCTGTTTCCTGCTCTCTGCTTGTTTCTTTTTCCTGCTTGCTATCCTGTTGTGAAGAAACCTAGCGCCAACCTAGCGCCAATCCAGCGCTGCCTTGCTGTATCACCATATTCTGCTGGGGGCCCGCTTCTGAACGAAGACTTTAAAACACATCTACAACCTTAAAGTTTACGTTTATCTATATTTTTTGAGTAGGGCTTTTTGAGCGCAGTCCATATGCATAGCACTGCTGTATGAACCATGCGCTCAATCTAGCTAGACTGGACTCTGAAATGAGTGAAGAACTTATTCAATTGCATTTGCGCTGCTCGGCGCTGATTGATCCAGTTGACCGCACGCACATAGGGAGGTGACGATGGCATGATTGAGGAATTGGGGGGCCTCGCATGCAACATCCAAATCAAGGTATTCGCCCAGGATCATGTAGCGAGAGTTCCACTCATTGGTCAAATTCCCCAGCTTCGTCATAGGGACCGTCTCATCGCCCAAGATGTCAAAGTCACCCTGGTAGGCGGTAGGCATGATGACTTCAACCCTGCTACGTCTTTGTCTTAACTTAGCTTGCTGCGCGACATTCATTATGCCACATATATACCTGAACCTCGCAATCAAAAAAGTTGACAATTGCATCAGAACTGCTAGCTGCAAAAAGGCATATTTTTTTTGCATGAGCCGCAGAATGTCAAACATAAATAAATGTCCTGATTCCGCTTGGATGTATGTCGTGAAATCCATACCCACGAGCTGCAAGGGGGGCGCAGTCCATAGGAGTCCAAAGCGGCGGACTTGGCACACTTTCGATGTCAGCACCTTGCGGGACTCGGGATCTGTGATGTCCATGGCCTTGTCGATGACGGTGTCATAGCTGTAGACAGGTCCTTAGCATGGCAACATCCAACCAGTGTGGGAATTACATGTGGTTCACTCACAACTCATTAATGGTTCAGCGCAGTGTTCCAATCAGTCCCCTTCGCGTCGAAGCTGTCCAGAGTTGTCATCACGCGCTGTGAAATTTGCAGCCTAGCGACCATTAATCTGCATGATATTCTTCGACACTTGCGCTGCTCCAGCAAAGATCTCCACTGCGTGGAGACGACGGCCACCCACATTCGCATTGGGTACTGGCCGCGGTTGAAATGATCGACATCAAGCTCGGAGCTAATCAATGATACACTCAGGTTTGTTCATTTCACCCTACTTGTGGGATCCATTCATGTCATTGACCCTCAATGCTTTGCTCAAGAAACTCTTTCAGTCCTCCCCAGAGATCCAGTACCCATTCCTCACCGGCATCAATGACCATTTGCTTGACATCGTCAGGCAGCTCCATGGCCAAAGCAACTAAAATTCACCCACTGACTCAAAGGCCGTACAAGAAAAGGGACCCAGTGACCAAGACAAATGGCTTTGAACTCTAGGAAAGGATCAGTTGGTCAAAACCTGAGCCAGAATGGCGCTTTCTTGAACTACAGCTCTTGCATGAGTGCTTTTCAGCGCCATTAATGAAGCATTCCCTAATCCATTCCAGCGCAGTTTCATTGACTAATGCGTGATGGCCCCTTTGTCGACATAAAGTGCCATACTGTCCCCTCAGTGGTGTTTGTTTTCAGTTATGTTCCCATTTGGTCACTTATTTGGACTTGTCACTGAAACACATACCTAACACACATGCAACACTTGCCTTCCCATGCCAAGTGCTGAGCGGCATAGGTTTTCTGAGTGGCATCGCAAATTTGAAACAATGGGGCCCCCCAGGATATGAAGCAAGGGACTGCTCATACTAAAAATTACTAAAAAGTTTAAACAAAATCTATCCTGGCATATCCTGGCAATGATTATAACTTACATTTACAGTAGCTGGTAGCTTTTATGGGTTCGTGGGGTCATTGCAGTTACTTGGCGCCTGAAAATGAAGCTTCCAGCAACCAAGTCCTGCATGTTGCCAGAACAAAGAGAGGAAATCATGCAAGGCGACAGGAAATCGGTTGCAAAATCATGCAAGTGTCTATGAAGCCATCGTGCTGCGGTGTGCCAACACACTGCTGCCGCCAGGCATCATTAGCATCGTCTACTCGCAGAGTGACATCCTCCAGCACGAGGCTCGAGAGAACCCTGAGTCTGTGGAGCCTTTCCTTAGCAAGGGCATTAGTAGCCTCATGAGCTACTAGTAGCTTCTAGGTGCCTTACTAGTAACATGCTGCTAGTAAGGCACCTTGCTACTAGTAGCTTTCTCGTGAAATGCAAATTGATGCTGCCTTTTATACAAAGCATCACTCCTTTTTGGGACTTGTCAGCTATAGTGCCTCGGACTTCAGAGGTTTGTCGCTTCTTTGCTGGCTCAAGCTTTGGATCAATGAGTTGACCATTCTGTAGGCCCATGATTTCTTCGGAGTCAAATCTGTGTTGTCTTCAGCTTGTACTGCTCAAAACAGCCACAACATTGTAGAAAAGCCTCTTCTCAACCCATGAAGGCCTAAGTGTTTGCGAGCATTGAACAGAAACTACTGACCAACCTAAAGGGTGCTTTGCTGTACTCCAGCCAGTTGCAGGCCGGTCTGGGGTTGCAACAAGCGCACGTTTGTTGGTCAGTGCGACTTCTGTGAAGGGAGAAACCTCACCAGTGAAATGCCACTAGTAACAGGTGCATCGCTGCTAGTAACAAGTGCATCGCTATTAGTACCAAGAAGCTACGAGTAATAGGTGCACTTGGCAGCCCAAGGCGGGAGAGTCTGCTTGCTCCGCCAGGGAACATGCTGGCTCCGCCACCTGGACCCGACGCTGGCAGCTCAGTTTGGAGCGGGCCCATATGCTTGAGATGAATCTGGATGAAGGATGATGAAGGTAGGACCTAGAAGATTTCTTACTGGTAACAAGGGGTACCATCATAACCCGACCTGGTCTCCTCAGGTTGTCACTGCAAGTGTGGCAGCAGGGACTGCAGGCCTGGTGTTTTCTTGCCCCCATTTTGCAGTCAGTAAGACCGGCATGTAGGACTTCGACATTGCATTGTTCAGCATACGACGAAGGTGTCAAGAGTTTCACACATACTAGCCACTTCCTGTCAGCCAGGCCCAGGCGGTGTGCCAGTGCTCATCTCGGTCCTCCCACCACCAGGCTCAAGCACGATTCAATGAGCTTGACTGAGAGCACTTGGTTCGAAGCGAAGCTGCTCTTTTCTTATTTTCATCAACAAGGTTCGCTACTAGGAACAAGTGCATCGCTTCTAGTAACAAGTGCCTTACTAGTAGTAACAAGGACGATAGTAGTAACAAGAACATGTTTTCATGTGTTTTCCATGGTGTGGTGGCAGGAAGTGCAAGAACACCCTCAGACATATGTTGTGTGGTAGACGTGCAGGGGCACTCAGCAAGAATACTATCTTTGCAAGGTTGCTTGTTCTTGGGGTATGTTGTACCGTCAACCCACTTCAGAACCTGAGAGCCTCATCCATCCCTTGTTGGGTTTTAGCAGCTTTAAGAAAAAGCGGGATGTTGTAAAGGTGTTTAAGGCAGTTGATGGTCAGATCTTCTTCATGCTAGCTGCCAAACAACGGCTTGTTTGGTTCGGATGAGGTTACTGTCTCTCCAAATGCCACATGCTTGCCGAGGTCGGGCTCAATGAGCAATGACGCATTGCTGCAAGGGGAGGATGGGACCATGTGCGGACCCAAGCTTTGCTGGCTGTGTGAAACCAACTTTCCATCAAAGACCAGACATTTAATGATACAATATTAGAAGGGATCGAGGGAATTAGATGGGAATGACAGGAGATGAGCGATGTCTCGATGCGATTCAGGTGGAAAGTCTGACAAAAACTACTAGTGATGGCCTCCAACCTACTAGCGATGGCCTCCACCCTAGTAGCGATGGCCTCCAACCTACAGACATCTGAAATCATAGCTGGTGAGGTCCACGAGCCACGGCCTCTCTGTGCTGGACATTGTCAAGCATGCATTGCGGACGATCATTGTGATGGTACCAAGTTGGCTCAGTGAAACTTTAGGACCAGACTGTGCTCGGGCGGCTCTGTAGATTTGCGGGCTCAACAGCAAGTCTCAAGGTATGTTTCAAAGGACTGTACAGTTGTCTTTGTGACTTTTCTTGGCGAACTTTGGCCCGCGTGCACTCGAGGCCAACCTGGATGAGTCTGACCGTCTTGCCTGATCCATAGTGAGTGATGATTGATGAAGATGTAGAATCGAATCCTCCTTACGTGAGAACGTATTTGTATAGGTTGTCAGAGTGTTTTTGTGCTTTGCAAGTGAAGAGCCTGGTCTCCAAGGCATGTGTGTCCTACTCCAACGCAGCCAAAGAGATTTTCCCACTTACACCAATGACACCGAATGGCAGGAGCCAAAACTATGCAGCGGGGTCTTCCAAAACCTGAACTTGGACATGATCCCAGTGTTAAAAGCTACAGTGAGAACCGTATCAAATCAATGCCAAATCAAAGGACTTGGACTTGGTTGTTGCGTGTGCTTGTTCAAAAGGGATGTTGTACCACTAGAAGCAATTGCACACCAACCATCAGGACCCAGTCAGAGGCTAAGTTAAATGAGTTGCAAGCAGATGGCTGCTTGTCTGCAAAAGGGAGAAGAGAGGAGGTTGAGATGGGATGGGAGCGGTATAACTATAACGTTGTGCATTGATAAGCACCATTGCATTGATAAGCATCATCTCTTCAAGCAGGGATTGCTGTTCAAGAGTTCATCCGAGCTTTCTGAAATGCGAGCGTTGACGGATGCCTCACCATTTGTTCCCCATTGCTGGGTATCTTGTTTCTTGGTAGATGGCCCTTTCACTTCTAGGCATGACCAATCTTTGGGATGGGCTACAGACTGGTGGGGCTCTTACAAGTGCAGAAGCGAAATGGAGTCCCGCACGAATGATCATGAATGGACTAGTTGCAGCATTGACTAGCAGCTAACAATTGGTGGAATGTTGTCACATGTTGTCACGAAGCATGGTCAAGAACTGGACATAATAATCCACTGTTACTCGAAATGAAAGAAAAGGAAGGGAAGAAAGGAAAACGAAAGGTGAAAAGGTCTAAATTACAAAAGAAATCTCAGTGGCACAAATGGATTGCTTTCATGTCGCCACTTGCGGATCATCGGCTTGGCCGACCTAAAATCGCCTGTGGCAGGGCTACAAATCCTGAAGAGTGGACAGGATGCTGATGGGAGTGGGCGCATGCAGCACGTAAAAAGCTAAGTTGTTGAATCTTAAGTCCAGTCTTTGTTTAGAAGCTTCGACCCGAGAAGCATTATATAACTTCATATTAGACAGATATGTATATTTATATTCAGATTCCAGGATCTAACATTTCGGAAACTGCATATAATTGTTGTAGCTTCAGCTTGCGACTATCTAAGTGGCACCGAGCTTGTCCGCAATGTGCCCTTTGAATGTTACCGAGATTATGCTTTTCACGGATGGCATGCCCAACATCAATCCTCCTAGAGGCAGGGGCTGCTTGTTGCTTATGTTTGCTTACGGTTATGTTGCTTCCTCAAGAATCATGTCGACTGGCTTCAAGAGATCATTGCAATAGAAAGCTGGTTTGTGCCATTGATTAGCTGCATAGAAATGCCACTGGACATGCCTGCCAAAAAACATACGGTAGACAGTATGTGTTTTGTCCGTGAGGCATTTTGCCAATGCTGAAGCGTCTCAAAGACAAAAGCGAAGGTGGAAAGTTGCCTTGACCCAAGATTTTTCCAAAAGTTGATGGAGTCCCGTGTCCCAGATAATGCCTTGCTTACCGACAGTGTTTGTTTGTTCAAAAGGTTGATTGAATCGATTGAGCCCGTGTTTTCCCCATTCTAATACCTGACTGTGTCGAGTATATGACATAGCTTGAGCTTTGCGAGGACAGTACCTTTTAACACTGAAATGTGTCTCACGGAGGCAAACATAAGAGAGTAGTACAACGTGCTTGCGTCACTTGAATTACAACCTAAGTTCAATCACCGCAAATGGCTTATTCCAATAGCTTTGACAACAAGCCAGTGATTCTACTTTTTGCACACCCCTTCCTTTCATAGCTCAGGGTTTGTTTTATGACAGACAGTCTACTGTAGTATTCTCATCTCGCAACTCATGCTCCCCTTTTTTTTGACCTAGCAACCCACCACCTAACGGACGACGATTATTTTTGAACATTGTGCGAGCTGGCCCTTATTTCCCTTTTGAAATAACGAAACTCGACCCGACAACCTGCGAATTGAACACATTACAACATGTGTGTAGGTGCATCCAAGATTTACAAAAAGTGTTTCCAACCTCTTTGTTTTGTCTCTAAAAGTGCTTACATTTATTACTGCCAACTTGCTACTCGTACTATTACTAGGCCTTTTGGTCTTGAAATGCTTTGCATAGAATAGCACCTAATCACTCTAGTACTGTCTCGAATTGTGCTACGCAGCTGCTATGCATGTAGTCCACGCCCAAGAACTGCTCTCAGATTGAGGCCGTGCACTGTGAGCACTTTTGGATTTGGCTACGAATTAGTTGGGAACCTTAATGGCGCTCAATGGGGAGGGGGAGGGCTCAAAGCCCAAGATGAATTGGGCACTCGCACAAACCCATAGACAACTTGCAGAAGCTAAGTGAAGAATCAACCAAAAGTATCTCCATATGCATTAGCTTGTCAAATGTTTCTTTGGATGCTGCTCACAGCGTGGGACGGGGGTGTGGGCCAAATTGGGGAGTCTGATTGAGTGAACAGTTCGATGATGTTCAATGTAATTATGCAGTAGTGAATGCCTGAAGTTGTGCATGATGCGGTTTCAGGAAATGTTGGCATTTGGAAAGAGACAAGTTCTAGCATTATGTCGGGCATGCCAGCCATAGATACAAGGAGCCAAAATAGTTTTATAAAGCAAAAACAAAGCAAAAAAAAAAAGCAAAAGGCAAAGCAAACAAAAAAGCGAAAAAATGTAGCTGTGCGTATTTGTCGCTTTTTTTTCACGTTTTTTTTCGCTTTATGTTCGCATTGTGTTCGCTTTATTTTCGCTTTTTTTTTCGCTTTGTTTTCGCTCTTTTCCTAGGAGGGTACAGCAAAAACATATTTGTCGCTTTTTGTTTCACGTTTTTTTTCGCTTTATGTTCGCATGTTTTTCGCTTTATTTTCGCTTTTTTTTTCGCATTTTTTCGCTTTTTGTTTTGCTTTGGTTTTGCTTTTTGCTTTGTTTTTGCATGTTCATTTGCTTTTATTTTGCTTTTTTTTCACTTTTTGTTTCACAAAAAAACTAGTTGATGGTTGGCCATGTATGGCTGCCATCGCCCAACATAATTCTAGCATGCATTCTGAGGATAGTGCTTTGCTTAGCGACCTGGCAGTAGAAGGTGTGCCATGGGCGGTGGGTATATGTGGGTAAACTTGGAGCATTATGGCAGCGGACGCAGGCTTGCAACCATATTCATCGATATGTGTTTATCTTAGTGGACCTTCTAGAGCGCCTTACGATCTTCAAGGCAAGGAAATGGACGGTTTGTTGCCTTTTGTTTCGTACTAGTGGTGGCTTTGGTCGCCGTGACAAATCACCGCCAGAACTGTTTCTTTGCGCTTCATTTTGCAAGCTTACGCATTCCGACGAGCTTCAGGGCCGGTTTCGGGCGTTCTCATGAGTTTGCATAACTGTTCGCAGATGTTTGTTCATGGCAGGATTTGGAGCTTATGCCTTTATTCCTGATGCTGGTTTTGTGGGCACTGTTTTCGTGAATGCGATGTCCAATTTGTCTCTTGGCATGCAAAACGGTTTATTGTTGCACAAAGGGCAATGGCAATGGACAGTTGCACGGCTCAGATGCTTGAGAATGTTGGAGATTGTATAACAGTAATGCTCTCTCTCTCTCTCTAGCGACATCAAGAATGTAATGATTGATCAAGTGTGAGGAGCTGGTCAACGTCTCAATTCCTGCACTTGGGGGAAACCATGCCCAGAATCGCTTGTAGCACCGCCAAGTTTTGGCCAACACTCCTTGGCAAGGCTTGCGACCATGGCCAAAGATGTGACTGTGACCCTCAAGTCCAGTAGCAGCGGCCTTATCAAGACTCGAGTGGTTGACAAAAAACTATACAAGTGGCCATATGATCATACTAATTCCTATGGTATTCAGCCATGAACTACTTAGACTTTCATGGTTCGCAGGTTCATATTTAAAGTGAGAGTGCAATCTCTCGCCGTGATGTTGAGGTAAGCTGACTGTGTTGGGTGGCCACCAAACGGCTCAGAAGGAGGTCCGCCCTGCTACTCGAGGAAGTCTAATCATTCATAATCATTCAAAGAATCATGGCAACATGGGATGTTCAGTTCAGTTAGATACCAAGACTAGCCTTAATACAGTAGATTCAGATTCATTAGATACAGGATGTAGCAACGCTTGTATTGCGCATTCATGTGGCAATATGGGCTCAAGCTGCATTTTTCGAGGCCAGGTTCCTAGTTTCTCACACATCAGATCACGTCAGACTCTTCACTTCATCCCCGATGGTGAAGAAGGTGAAAGTTGAAAAGGCCAAGAGTGACAAGTCATCCTGCAAAAAGTGCCAGAAGAAGATCGGCTTTGGTGAGTTGAGAGCAGGAATCGATTGCTGGATGGGAGGCAGGACAGTGACAGCCTGGCTACACATGAAATGTATGGCCGAATGCTTCAAGTTCGATCGTTGCAAAGGCAAAGGAAAGTGCAAGCTTTCGGCGGAGACCATGGAAAAAGGTGAAGCCCGACTTGAACTTGCCAGAGAGTATACAGGCATTTTCTTTAAGCTCAAGCACTCGGGTGCCGCACTGGCCGACTTTCTCAAAGAGAAAGCGATGGACCCCAAATCCATCAAGGGCTACAAGGTGTTGGCAACAACCGAGAGGAAGCTTCTGTGGAAGCCAAGAAATACTCGACGAGCTTGAGATGGCCTGCCCATCTAGCTTTCACCATTTCCTCCTTTTACCTCCATTTACCTTGCTGTAAGAGCACGGATTGGAGAAGAAGCGCTGATCAAACGATGCGCTGAGTACAGGATAAGCATGGAGAAAGACAATCCTGACATGATATCACAAGGTACGGTATGTTCGGAGTATTTCAGGGGTTTTATGGAGGCACGACTCACGACTCGCTTCTGTTTTTCTTTGCTGCTGTCAGGTCACCACGGTGCAATTGGGCACATTGCAGTTTGGCCAGGCCCATTCCATACTGCTTTGCAGAGCTTATGCATTGCATCGACCATCATCATGGAGGCATCACCAAATTGCATTGAAACGGGTTTCAAGATGTTTGAACTGAGATCAAGACATCATAAGACATCCATAATATGTTGGTTGAAACAGCACATGTTAGTTTGTATCTAGCATCAGTTTGCTTAGATCTTGCCTTCCATAATACATGTCAATGTGCAAAAAGAGCGTGTCAAGCATCCAGTCCCCCTGGGCTTTCGTTTGAACATTTCATTTTTGAATCCGTGACTCACTTCTGCGAGCTTGTCAGAGCAAAGACATTGTGGTGCTGGCTGAGGGTATTTGCACTCAGATCATCTCAGATCCGCACATTTTTGCTCTTCCTACATCTTCCTATCAGATGAGTTGCGTGAAGCTTGCTTGAGTGAACAAATGAGACCTTTTCTCAGTGGTCTCCCGAGTTCAGCCTTGAGAAAGCCAAGGTGATGGACAAGTGGAAGCAACTGTCGAGTGCTCCTTGCTGGTCTAGGTGAGTTGAGGAGACTCACACTCACAGACCCTTATTGACCAATGTTCAAAGCATTCAATGCTCATGTCAAGTGAAGGAACATTGTGTTTTGCTTTTGCATTTGTTTCTGCGTGTTCATGCTAGCGTGAATTTCCGCCCAATGCGCAGGAAGTAAATGCAAAGCAAGTTAAGATGCCAACAGGTACCGCACTCGCAGTGGTCCTGCATCAGTTCCAGCCGCAGCAGGTGCACAAATGGTAGTTTGGATATATCAGCATAGAATGCTGCAGAGCTCACGTCCAATGTCGAGTCAAAGGCAAGACACAAAAGAACATTGTTTGAGGCATATTTGCTTGTTGAGCTTATATATTGTTTACTTGCTTTCCATTTTGTCAGCGCAGGCGAGCCAGACCCACTGCGAGTGCGGAGACCAAAGACAAGGGCGGCACACTGGACGGTGACTACTACTGTTGCTTTTTCACTTTTCCTGGTCAGAAAGATTGCTGCGTCAGCAAATGCCTTGGGCATTTATCAAAAGCGACGGCTAGACAAGCGCGCAGTTGAATCCTCCCACAAGTACTAGTAGCTCAGGTAGAGCTGCAACGCTTGCGGCTGAGAGCCGTGGACAGTATCGGCCAGGCAAGATGCAGATTTATTTCTATTTTGCCTCCAACCTAACAGCGATGGCCTCCACCCTCGCAGCGCGTTTTTGACATGTAAAAGAATGCATCTCACTCATTCAAGAAAGAACTGCCCTACTGGGCCCTACTGTATCGTATACTTCGGAAAAAAATTGTCGCTTTGCTTGGACATGTTTGGTACCTACTCTCGCAAGCCATCAGCTACACCTAAATTTGTGTTTGACTTCAACTCCTGCATTCAATGCGTGACTTTCCTGTTTGGAGCCGCAGGCAATGGAATCCTTGAAATTGACAGCTATGGAGCGTGCAAACGGCAAATACCCCAGAATGGGCGATTGTAGTCGGCATCGATTGAAGTTGGATTCGTGGATCGAAAGTTGCCTTTTGGAAGACCTTTCGCACAGAGGCCATTCCTATTAGGTTGGAGGCCATCGCTCTTAGGTTGGAGTCCATTCCTATTAGGTTGGTTCACCTTGTCACAAATTGTCCAGAGTCCAAAGTGATCATGGTATATGTTGTTAAGATATTGTTGCATTATGCATGGAAGGACTGGAAGGACCTCATCCTGTGCGGGGATGTCACTCCCATGTTTGCAGGCAAGCCACTCCCTTTAGAGGATGCTGATCGTTTTATCAAGGCCGACTCTCCACGCACTGAATTCTTCTGCTGATTTGTTGCCATCACGCATGAAGAAGAGTTTCTTTGGCATTTGTATTCATCATGTGTTTCTTTGTTGTTTGTTGTTCAACTTCTTGCTACACTCTTGGACCTTGCCTTTCTTTTGTTTCCTTTCTGCCTTTCTATGTGTGTGTTTCTTAGTTATGTTCTTTCTTGTTCAGAACGCATACCCTATGGCCCTATGAGGCAATGGTTTCAGAGATCACAAGCTCTCCCGCTCGCGATGTGCGGACGCTCTAGAACGCAGATTGAGCAAGATTGAATGAGAAGTGGCAGATGAATGAAGATGATTGCAAGAGAAGATGTGTGCTGTGTGTGTGCAGTCATTTTTCATGGCAGTTCATACTGTCACTCGCTGAGGCAGACGCCATTAAAGGCTTGCTCGAGGATTTGGAGGGGCAGGTTGGGCATTTGGCGGGCCGCATCGGGCCGTTCGTTTCACCCGTTTTAGCTGCCATACTCCTAGCATGGCAATTATCAGATCATATCAGCGGTGGTGTGACGGAATTCGTTATTTTGTAGTGGCTTGATTTCATCCGCTGGAATCCACTGAGGGGGGCCATAATCAATCACACCTTCCGCCAGGTGACAGAGGCTTTGTCAAGAGAAGATTGGTACAAGAAGTGGGGTCCGTATCTTGGGAACGTCTACTTGGATTTGGTGAGGAGCATTTTGACTTCTTAATTGCAACTTAAAGCTGGAGCTGCTTGGTTTTGAATTTAAGCTGGAGCTGCCTGAGGGATTCACTACCTGCCCTCCCTGATGTTTGCACACCTTACACAGCAATGCATGGTGCTCAGAGCTTCGTTGCCTCGACGATGACAATCAAGTAATCAACTATGTTGAAAGTGCATGAATTTATCCTCATGAGGGACTCGTAAAGTCTAAGTATATCTAGGCGACTTACTTAAATTAAAGACCTCCCGAATGTTCTTTGAGGAAACAACAGGTTGCTTTTGGCACGGGCTTGCAATCTGGAGGCAGACCTTATCACCATAAGCTAGTGGCTGCTCCAGTTGTTCGAGGCAACAACTTCAAGGATGCTGGAGTCCAGAGTTATGGCGGAGATTTGTTTCAAAACATCCGAGATAAAGGCACAGAAGATCGCGGAAGCATGTGTTGAAGGAGTGAGACACAGTGAGACCATGTGAGACTGGGAATTGGCCCTCGGTCATGCATGGGTGGAAGGAACGTTGATGGCACTTGCAAAGCACTTGCTTGGAGCCCTGTCAATGTCTAAGTGAAGTTGGCCACTGCCGAGGTGACACGAATCTCATGAGTAAACAGCAGGTTTTCATGAAGAGGTGCTTCAGTAGAAAGCTGGTCCTGTTGCCAGCTGACGAGATCTTCCTGTCTTTGCCACCCCCACAGCCTACAGTCAGGAGCGGGAGACAGGGAGACAAACAGAAGTGTCTGACCCATCATTGAACATCAATTCGATGTCAATTCAATGAAGGCCATGATGTGCCTTTTAAACACAAGGGACCCCATTGAAGGTGTGCGGCCACGGCCGACATGCGTTGGAGGTTTTCGCATTCCTTCCCTTGTGGAATATGGATACGAATAGAGTCAGCCGCGTTTCTGTCGCTCCAGTGATCGGTTGTTTCCCCACAGCGGTGACATTGGCTCATTGCTCAATATCGCTTTGCGAGGACACGGCCGGCCGAAGCTGCTGTTCCAGTGTCCAGGCCTGGGGCGGGGCACACCATGCCAAAATGGAGTAATTGGAAGACAATTGCCTGAAGTTGTATGCCATTTTCGGTTATGCTGAGAAAGAGTTTCACAGAGTTAATGAGACTTTTTTAACACTGAAAGTGAGTGGCATTCTTCCTTTTGCCCTTCTGGGATCCTTCCTCTGAGTCTTGGAAGGATATCAATAGAAAGATAGGTTTTGGCAGTTGGGGAGTGTCATTTTGAGCAAAAATGCAGTTCCATGAAGGCCGGCACCCGCACCTATCGCACCGATCAGTATGGCTGCGTCGGGAACTCAAGTTGGATCGTTCAACGCGTTGGAACCAGATCAGGAGAAAGTAGCGATGCACTTGTTACTAGTAGCGTGGCACTTGTTACTACTAGCTTCTTGTTACTACTAGTAAGGCACTTGTTATTACTAGTAAGGCACTTGTTACTAGTAGCTTATTGTTACTACTAGCTTCTTGTTACTACTAGTAAGGCACTTGTTATTACTAGTAAGGCACTTGTT